CACTATACATGTTTATCCCTTAAATGACTCCTTACCATTAATTACAAGTACAAACATGAAAGAATTACTACAACATTTGATAAATATTAAATATAAATCAAAAGAACAACAGTTCAATGTCAAACATAAACACTGGATGTATTTCACAGAATTCTTATTATATTTTCTCACAATCACAATTCCGATGGTAAAAACAATGGATTGAACTATGTTGACATCTGGAAGATGGTGTCAAAAACTCAGCGCCAAATCCAACAAATTCTTTATCTTGAGGCTATTCCATTAAATGACCTATAGTATTATATGATGATTTCGTAAATAATGCCAAACCTTTGCTACTTCCAAACTATTTCCTTCCCATGTATATATTTCATAAACTCAAGCCTAATCAACAATAATGAAAAAACATACTTCTTCCTCTGTAGTAAAAATGAACAGATCACACTTAGGAACACAAAGTCTCGTTCAAAATCAAATTTGCATTTACAAAATCAAAACTTAATATCTTCTTTTCATGTCACTTGATCGAAGGATGTATCTTGAGGCAAGGATTCTAAAAAATGAAATTTCTTAATGATTTTCATTTTTTCAAAGGCACCATTTAGCAGCTATATACAAAAGCATGTCATATGTTCAGTTCATCAATGTACTTGTGATACTGGACGTGTATAATTAAGTTAAAATAAAATCAGTTGATAAAAAAGTTCCGGATCAATGGTCCTTTCATGTCCCTTTGAGGTTTTCGTGACATAGCCGTTAGTCATGGTCTTTTCATTATAAAAACCAGCTCATAAATGGATTTTTGTAGTTCACCTAATAATGCAAATTGTTTAATTTAAAGTTTAACATGCCATCAATCATGTCGGTCAACAAACTGAGGACTCGTGTTCTAGTTTTATAACATAGGACTTATCATTCATACTAAATACCACTAATATGTTAAAACAATCAGGCCCGTAGCCAGGATTTGCCAAGGGGGGTTCACTTTTTGAAAAATTCCAGGGGGGTTCACTTGTGACAATTTTGTTCCAAAAATGGCCAAAATCACTTAAGAAGTGCTCAGAATGGTGAAAAACTGCTAGGTTTTGAAAGATTTTTGGCCGGAGGGGGGGGGGTTGCCCATCGAACCCCCCCCCCCCCTGGCTACCGGCCTGACAATTAAGATTGTATAATAGGTTGTCTGGAAACCCCATGTAGTAATCAAACCATGGAGCAATCAAATAATTGAAACATTATTTTGAAATGTTAGATGTATTTATCAATCATTTTCATTACTCATACTACATTTCAGTTCAATATTTAGTCTCAAAGAAGTAGATATATAAACCACACCTCTTCTCTAACTTCAGTGTGAGATAAAATCAAGAGGCTTGGGTGAAATAGAATAAATAAAATAGGATTATTTATTCTCTCATCAAGCTTGGTCAACAGATAGATTTATAAAAGCTGAGTATTGATTTGGTTATTTTGATCAAGTTGTTATTTAAAGATGGCGCTATTATGATAGCTAATTTGGAATGAAGTGGCCTACAATTACGCCATCTTTACAAACTGGTAATGATGGAATGACAGAATCAATGAATGTTGCTATGTGTAACTATGGTGACATTGTCATAGGTTGGTGGATGTGTATGAGGTACTAATAGATGTTACAATTTGATTTAAATTTTGTTAAATTGAAAAAAATTCCATTTTTGTGTTTTGCCATGTCACAGACATTAGGTAAGGTAATGATTGAAAAAAACATTTGCAAAAGGGTGTATTTCTCAATATCTTTCTCAATTTAATGAGACAGATATGCTATTTATATGAGTGTAAGAAAAAAAGTTTTGGGTAATGAAATAATAGGAACCCTTTAAAAATGAATATTGTGATATACTAATATAACATAAAAGAGAATTTCACCAATTATGGTTAATATCAGAGTCCCTCTTTATTGTAAAGGAATAAATTACAATGGATAATTCAAACTATGGAGTGTATTCCACAATGTACACATGGATTTACAAATCAACTTTTGATTATGAAAAAACATATCCAATAAAAATATACATCAAATGTATTGTCTTTTTATTGATTTGTCTTTTACCATTTTAGCAAGGCTCAGGCTTGACTAGAAGTACTGGAAGTACTGGCTCATTAAAGAAACAATCTCATGAAACTACTGAAAAAAGTTCTGCTTTCGAGTTATTTGTCTTGAAGAAGCTATGATTGTTGCCTTTCAAAACTTTGAGTTAAGCAGAGACCATATCATCTGAAATCAAATTCCTATATCGTGTTTAAAAACTTAGTAGCTTCACTTCATTTTGAATGGAAAACATTTTCTCGCCTTTTTAACATTCTTATAAGATACGTTCATGGCTAAGTAACAAGATAAATATGGGTATAGGATGGAGTAATTATAGTTGTCAAAGGAAATAGTACCTGGCACACTTCGTTAAAGGTAAACATCAAAGTTATTAAATGATATACCTTTATAAAGATATTCAAGCTCTCTGTTTGTTTTCATTCCAAGTGACAAAATATATATTATTTATATGTTTTCATCCAAGATGTATCATTTTGTATTTGAAATTATAACATACCTTGGAAATAACAGAAACCAAACACTATAATTAGGCAAATAAAAATAGCAAACTGACAGAAAGGCATTAGCAAAATGAAGTCTAAATGCAACGAGTATTAAATTGAAAAATAATTACAATCATTCAATCAAAAAATCTGCTGCTTGTAAAATATGAGATTTTAATAAGTTTCTTTGTTACTAGAAATTTAGGATCAAGAAAGGTCTGTTTTTACATGTAATCCCTAATTTTTGTTTTTTTAGTTCTATGACCAGATATTTACCCGATTCTTTAAAACTTGAACAGATGGTAGATGTCAAAACAGTAAACTATTGAACATGTACAATTAAGGCTTATCATGCCTGGAAGATATTTAAAATCAAAGCAGACTGATTTAAGTTGATATATCAGACATCCTAAATCCTGATTCTCTCACTTGATTAAACATCTGAAGACTTCAACTGGACCTTGTTAATATCAAATACTCTTCTCTTTCATGAAATGACTTTACACAAAAAGTATCAGCTCTTTTGCAACAAGGATATAAAAGAAATAAACTGATGGCAAGATGTTCATACAAAATGAAATTATTCAAACTGGAATTAAAGACATTGCACATAATCATAGTCACTATATCTCATTTGTCAAGTTCATGACTGAAAGGGATGCGGTCCAAATGGGGGGAGGGGATACATGAATAGAGTGATAGGCAAATCAATAGTTTCAAATTTCATTAAGTCTAGCCACAAGCCCTTGTGACCCTCACCCCCCCCCCACTTCTACATCTGTGTAAGAAGGTGTGTAGTCAAGTGGAGGGGGTCACGGGGTCTTCATTATTTTCGGGGGAGGGGGGTTAAAGCAAAACGAAATTAACTTTGTTTTCCACATTTTGTCTTCATACCCTAACTTGAAACAACTTGAGTTGAGAGTCATGAATTTGTGTTTTTGTAGAGCTCATCATGTCAGATAATACAGTTATCTACACACCTATGGCACCCTGTCAATGCATCATATGTTTGCTATCCTATATACAGACTGATTTAACAAAAAGCAGACAACATGTCCAGATCATTCCTAAATCTGGAAGAAGAAGCAGTGAACAGAAGGGACAATCAAGCCTAGCACAATCAAAACAATCAAGCCTAGCACAATCAATATATTTGCAATTTCAATTGAAACACAATACCCACCAGCACAATCTATACATGAATTCTAAGAATAAGATTTGAAAACACATGACAAATTGGTCATGAGTGTTTTAAAAACAGGAGCCTTTAACTATTGAGTTATACCAATCAGTATTATGTACTATTATCTTATATTCCCTAATATGCAGTAATAATCACTGTGTTCGCAATGTAATCAGTGGCATGATTAAATAGATCAACTCTCACAGTATGACTGCTGATTTGATAACTCTTAGGGTTTTCTCAGGTGCAATATATCCAAAATATTTAAACCTACATAATTTGACCAAAAATAGCCAAAGTTGTTCCAAAATATTCATGATTTTCTTCATGCAGATAAATATTAGTAGATTCTCAACTGGATTGGAGTTGATTTTCAAATCCCAAGTCTAACAAATTCTGAGAGTTTCAGAATCTACCTGACTTCTCAATTCTAAATAGTACTTCATGAAAAAAAATTAATCAACTTTGATCAGAATTGTAAAATGAAGAATTTTACAGCGATTTAAGGATAAATCCTGGGAGAATATTTGGGAACTCAAAACTGGTGGCTAACTCTTGCTCTTAAGGTATTAATTGTGTATCTGATAATTAAGATGAAAATAAATATGAAACTGCCAAATAATTGTAGACAATATAATCATATTTTCTCCTCCTATTTCATTTTACTTGTTTACAATGCTCCCCTGAAATTATCTTCTTTTATTATCTTCTTAGTGTAACAAGATAATATGGAAATAAGACAGGGGGTGTAATATGAACTATACTAATGTATTGGTGCACCTTGCACTTTAACATATTTCAATTAATATAATTAATTCTCCCAATTAACAAAATTATGCTCAAAAAGTTAAAGAAAGTTATAAGAATGACAACAATTCAATCTTATGTATAACTGACCTAATTATACTTCTTTAATTGCCTTGTAATGTCTTTTGAAAAGCCACAATGATATAATTAATGTGCTATTAAGTTATTTATGTTTTTTGGTCTTTTGAAATTAATCATTGCATGGTACACCATGGCCGAATACATGATCTCTCTTACAAGAAACATAGATGCGATGAGTGTCTGAATTTTTCATACCCTAATATGATAAAATTGCAATAAAACCATCAAAGTAACCCACATTTTCCTTTAGGTGAGAACCTCATAACATCTTTTTTCATCTTAATAACCAGAAAATAAGTTTGCCATGCTTGAAAAATAAATATGAATTATATACTTCAAAGAATACTTTCACACTTACCTGGTCCGATGACCATTTCATCTTCATGAGGTATTAAGTCGCGGATGATACGTTCGCAATCACGACGGGTCTGAGGTAGTGACGGAGATTTCCGCATGTTGTGGTGCATTCTGGGAGGCCTTGTAGGAGGTTTCAGTGGATGGAATGTCACAGATGATTGAGCAGTTGAGATTGATTGGGCATCTGAGGTATATCCTGCGTCATGGAAACATCCTGTCAAAAATCCAGACATCTTGTCTTATGGCTATGCTCCTCTCTGTAGAATTATCGCAAAATAAATATCTGACCAATATATGCAACCTATATCCATTTAAAGTTACACATTGATTGGGTTTCCTATTCCAATAAAATATTATGATTTTGTGTCAATACTTTGTCAAGAATGTACATTCGTATAAAGCTGGGATCTGCAGGTAATAAGTCGATCTCATCCAGATCCAAAGTGACTCAATTCCAGATGCTTTTTGTGCTTTTTGTTCTCTGACTTAAGCTTTAGTTTCAACATATGGCTGCTGATTGTCTGTCCAGGGGTTCAGCAACATAAACTCCTGAAAATAGAGATCACACTTTCATCATGAAATCATCAATGACCTAACCAGGAGTCTATATTCCAAAAATTATCACCTTAGCTGGTCAGATTGCACTAGATTGTAGACATGTAAAAGTCTAGATCACAGCCACAGAAAAACCATTAATTGGCTCATGTAAATAAACAGATTGCGTGATTTTTTCGGAGCTATGCGTTAGACTGTAGCTTGATCTGATACTTTTTAATAGCTAAATATTTGCGTTTGGAGATTAGAATTAGGAGCCTGTGGGTGTAATAATCAGTCTCCAATTTCCTCACAGCAGTCTATGGCAAATTACACCAATGTTCTAGAAATAACTCTCCTTGGTTTATTGGACCTATTACAAGATCTGACTATTATTACCCAAAGTTTATGTGCTTATAAAGGAAATAGACTTCATTTTGGTGCAAACAGATCTTCAACTTGGTGCAAAAAGATCTTCAACTTGGTACAGATAGACCTTTAACTTGGAGCAAAAAGATCTTTAACTTGGTACAGATAGATCTTTAACTTGGTGCAAAAAGATCTTCAATTTGGTGCACATAGATCTTCAACTTCGTTCAAATAGATCTTCAACTTGGTGCAAGGTACATGTAATTTTCAAATTGTGAAACAACCCCACAGGGATATATTCTACCTGAATCTGAATAGAAGTACTTTACTAAAATTTGTAAAAATCAGCACCTTCAGAAAAATCAAAAGACATGAATATAATATTCAAACAATGAATGAACATTTCCCCCATCAGTGTGATATAACTGTAAAATACAAGGAAAGTTGAGGTAATTAAAATCAATTCAGAGTATTCAGGCAGGCTGATCCTAGGTGTTAATGATAATTGACAGACATGAAACCTTTTTGAAATGTACCTGTAATAAATTAACATGGAATCATTCACTACAACATGAAATCCAAATATTCAAATTTTACATTGGTTTGAATCATACCAGGGATTTTTGTCAGTGAGCTGATAATTTGTTATGCCGATTCCCTTCTAATATTGACTGTAACTTAATTAATATAATGATCAGAAAAAAGTAAGGTAAACACATCCTATGGTATCTAACTTTTCAAGTTCACTGTATTAACTGTACTTGACATTGTTTATGATTATCAGAAATAATTAACTGTTAAAAAACTAATGAGAATAAATACCATCCACTTACCCTAAATAAACATTGATTATTAACACATGAATCAAAAACAGCCATGAAAATCCAACTAAATCATATTTGAAACTTCTACCTTAAACTCAGCTTCTCTATGATAATTAAATCATTCCTGTGTAGTCAGATGTAGAATCAATCACTGTGGTATCAGATAACCCTGCTCAGTGATGACATATCAAATACTTCCCCTTTTTACCTTTCCTCTTTGCATTCATATAAATGACAAGTGAACACGAAACCCTAAATTCCTGGCTCCAAACTGTCAATTCCTTAAGATATCAAATCAGCTGCTGCATTTAACCCTATTTTTGTATTAATCAGTAGGGAGTTTTTTTATGACGATATGTTTTTAAAGCGGTTATGATGGCCTGTGATCTTGCTGTGATCTTGACAGTGGTGGGGTGCTTCCTTGCTGCAGGCTAATGATCCTCTATTAATTTAGGAGTGACCCTATATGACCCTTTATATTTATATCCTCTATCTGATTTATTGTATTGTATCAAAGTATTGTTGGTTTATACATGATCGTTGCTTGCATTTCACATGTAGGTGACTTTACGAAAGGAAACGCTAACATTTGTTCCAGTTTACCAATCAAATCGTAATTAACATTATTGCGAGCAATTAAATACAATCGGAAGTAGTGTAAGTTGTTTTGTTATGTTTTCCAGGATTGATGTTTGTCAAAAAGTTTAAGATATTTGGATGACCAATCAATCTGCAGCGAATCAACAAAGGCTCGTGACACATTTATTTATTGACCACTATTGGTTGAGCTGTTAATTGCTTTACAAAATGTCATCAACCTTGTTTAAAATTTCACATAAGTCATGCTTTTTTCACACTATTTCTCTCTAGTTTCTTAATAAAAAGTCAAATTTCAGACATTTCTGTAAAATTTAAAGTGTCAATGTCATAGCTACATACTTAAATTCTGTCAAAATCCACTCTTTTTCCAACTATTCTGTATTTGAAAACACAACCATCAAAAATTTAATCAATGGTTGACGACAATAGACATGTGTTGACAGTTCCACATTATTCCCCAGTGTGAAAATCTTATGTGATATGAAGTGATAAAAATGAAGTGTTTATTCCACCCTGTTATCCACTTGAAACAGTTTATTCACTGCATGTTATCCACTCAGCACTATAGTTCCATCTGCCATTACCCAAACTGACACAGCCTTAATCCTAACGCACGAGTGATTGTCTTATAACCCTTATATTCATCTGACATATATCCCCAGAAAGTAATTAAATTTTGTTTAAAATTAATAACAAATATGATTTTCAATTAATATACAAATGTTATCAAGATTATTAGCTGTTAATTTAGTGTCAGTTATTTCATTAAAACTAGTTTGGAGTTTTATTAAAGAGATGAATTGGCCACTGGTATCTTATCAAACTTGGACTCTCGTTAACTTAGACCCTAATCAACTTTAAGTCTCAGACCAAGCCCTATTTTGTCATATTTCCCTAAATGACCAACCTCTGTCTAAGCGAATTTTAAAATTATCAACCTACTTTTGATTTTTTAAATATTTTATAAATCAAGTCATCTTGTTCTGAGTTATCAATCAAGTTAAGGGAGTATAATAGTCAACATTAATACCATCGTTCCAGTCAGTCTATATACATGATCCTAAATGAATAGATACAAAATAATACCATATTTGGTAATCCAAAAAAACATTTCATTATAAGCAATTCATTCAAATAATTTGCAACTACTGTTTCTGATTCATTATGCAATTTTTCTAAATTGCTGAATAATTGTGTGGAAACATGATCACAAAAACTAGAATCAATATTACTTATGGTAGCTATTTTCAATAAAAATGTTGTGTTTATGAAACGAGTGAGATTAAAAGACCTATGACGATCATACCTATCATGAATTGTATGTTTTTATTTTCTATGTTGTTATAGAAATGTAGAGGATAGAATTTCTTCATTTGGTTTAATCTTTATTATCATTTGGTTAAAGTCCATGACTTCAAAGTCATAAAGGGAGTCTATATGAACCATCATAAAATAACTAAAAAAAATATTCAAAATAATTTTTTAAAAAACAATACATTTTCCACTACAATTTTTGAATAGAAGTGGTTACTTGGACCTGGACATGTGTATTGGTTCGTTTCAAGTGTATAATATAATTATATGAAACAACAATCAAGGCTTATTTTTGGCTCAGTAAACTGGCATATAAGTCAATGAAATTTTTTTTAAATTCTCAATTCTTACCACATGTGAAAAAGTATTGAAAACACAAGTTAACAGATATGTTATTTATGTTCACTTGATCGAAATAAATATATATTTTGATTTTTATTATTTTTGGCCAAAGAAGTACCATCATAATGGAAAAGTGCTTGGCTGAACTAGCTATAATTTTATTATAATTTTAGGTTCCTGAATATGACAAATATTACTATACTATAATTACCCTTTTAAGAAAAATGTATCTACGTAAACCAAGCTTGGCTGAACTATTTATAATTTTAAGTTCCTTAACAAATATTACTATACTATAATTACCCTTTGCAAGACTTTGACTTGGTTATGTACTCTATACATTGTAGATAATTCTATGATCTTGCCATATCAGTCTGTGTCAGAAAATAACTTCACTTCATTTCCCGCCTCTTAAGCTACATTTGAATTCTTTAAAATCGAGTCAGAGTATCGTGTGACTAAAGGGTAAACTTTTACTTATCAGTCAAAATATTTGGCTCAATCCAATAGATAAACACCGGCTTCTGCTTGGTGAAGTATAAAATGATTCAATGATTGTTTACATGACATACAACATATATACATGTACTTGTAATGTAAAATAAACAAGAGATGAACTAAAAAAGTATTTATGACTTTGTCGGTTTTTGGAGTATGTGTATGTATGTTTGGTTTGGCAAACTGTCCCTTTGCAATTTGCTGGTGCAGAAATATTCAGGCGAACAAGTATTTAGTTAAACAATTTCAACATATCTATCACTCACATTGTATTTAATAACTAGATACGCAAATTCCATAGTTGATGAGGAACACACTTTTATGTCAAATTTATAAATAAAAATCAACTTGAAATTTAGAGTTTGTGCTTTGATATTGATAGTTCTTTTTATCAATTCATGGGAGAAAGGGACAGCTGGACATTAAGCTTTAACTAAAGAGGACAAAAAGTGGTCATTTTCAACAATGTCTTAGATGCTCAAATCCCCAAATTCTTTTTCAATAGTTTGATTTTAGCTTCTTAAATGACAGATTTATATACAAAAATTTCTTTTATTTTTACTTCTATATTCTTATTCAAAAACGTATTTATGTATCCCTACTAAAAGTCTACATACATCACCATTGAAGTTATATTTTTGTATGTATCTGCATCTATATATCAAATGGTCAGTTAAATCGTCAACAAATATTGGCACACTTTGAATGACCCCCAGCTTGGTTATTAAAGAAATGGCAGAAGACCACGGATTTATTCAATAACACACTAGGTGTCCTGACATAAGGAAGTCACCGTGCCACAACGGAGATATTTATTACACTGCTCTCCCATTAGTTCTTTTGTCCACATAAACTTAATCCAAAAACCAATAACATTTATTTCATCTTCTTCAGAAAAATCTTTGAACTTTCTGAACTTGTCTATAAAAATGGTAATATTCTACATTATTGGAAGATGATGGGATTAATGTCTTGTATGAGCTAATTTATTGTTTAGTTTTATGAGTTATTAGACGATGGATGTTGAATATTTATATCTGTCAATTTTACTTCAATTAAAACAAG